GTTCTGACGTGCACGCTGAAGCTTGAGGAGATGAAACTTTGTCAACTTTGACGTTCTCTTTATGTTGCGGAGGAAACGTTCCTGGAACATGTCGTGACGCTGACAGCAGCTGGTTCTGGATCTGGTTCCTCAACACTGGACCCTGATCATCACGTGTTGGACCGTTCTTAGTTGTTTCGGTTATGGTTCGGGTTCGGGTTATTCGTCGTCCTGCTTTACTTCCTGGACTAAACAGAACACACCCGACCCGAGCTGCTCTCAGGACCTTCACGCGTCCGTCAGAACCTCCCCTGATGTTCTGATTGTACTCTGATTACTTTGTCTCAGCTTCAGGCTGACGGTCGGGTTACAGCTTGGATCAGGACGGACGTTGGACCTTCAGACCTCTGAATGAAGCAGCAGAACATCTCCGGCCTTTGATCTGCTCAGTGGAGGCTTCACAGCTTCATCCTGGGTCTGGTCCAGAACTTTGGTGGTTGTTCTGTGACCCGGCCACTAGGTGGAGGCAGACCACCGTAGAGCTGCTGTTGAACTGACTATAAACCATCACGCTGCTTCAATGTTCTCTGACATCTGAACATCTGGTCCGATCGGACCAAACAGCAGAATGTGGAACCGTTCTCCTGCTCTTACTTCTCATATGTTCATTTCTAATGTTTCTGAACCTTCAGGTTGGGTTCAGGTTCAGGTGAAGGTGTGACGTTGAAGAAACGATCCAGAACGTTTTCATGTTTTAAAGTAAATCAGCAAAATGTTCAGAAGACGCTCCAGTGATGACGTTTATTATTGTTGTTGTTGATGTTGATGAAGGTCCAGCTGAGCGTTTCTGAGGAACAACCAGACGTGAGTTTGTGCTTTTGTGTTTTATGCAGAAGAAGATGATGATGGAGGCGGAGCAGCCGGGAGGCGGAGCTAAAGAAGACTCTCGTCCAATGGTGAGGCGGTGTGAAAGCCAATCATTTATTTATTGATCCAGCAGATTCTCATCTCAGTCTCTCTGAGGAAGGTTCTGGTTCTGCAGGATCAGAAACAGGAGGAGGAAGGTTCTGGTTCTACAGGGTCAGAACAAAGAGATCTTGGGCTCAGACCTGTGTGACTTCCTGACTAAAGGCCGTGGTGCGTTCAAGGACTGTTGGAACGTTTCTGATGAGTGCTGTCCAGCCGACGGTTGAAGGACACAGTGAGCTCAGATGTTCAGGTTCAGCCGTTAACGGACCAACAGTCCTCCATCACTTAATCAGGAGCAGAACCAGCTTTAGGCTCCACCTGCAGAACCGGGTCCAGCAGAACCAGAACGCTCCTCAGGGAAGGTTCCACTTTAACCTGACTGGTGGAAGAACGAGTCCGACTGGTTTCTGAAAGTGTTGAACTGTTGTCCAGCAGCAGCGAAACGTCCAGTGTGTCCCCGAGGTGCCTCCTGAAGGGATCAACGAAGTTCTGTCTAATCTCACATAATCTGTAATCCATAATCAATGTAATCTATAATCCATAATCTATATAATCTATAATCCATAATCGATCTAATCTATAATCCATAATCGATCTAATCTATAATCCATAATCGATCTAATCTATAATCCATACGGGTGGGGTGCACCTGCTTCTCTAAACACACTTGGAAGCTCCACATGGTTCCTGATTGAAGCAGCTGTTAGCTATCACACGC